ATGTTTAAAATCTTTTACTACCTCTTGACAGCGTCGCCAATCGCCTGTTTCCGCAATGCACTCTTGTACTTTGTAGTGTAATTCTATGCAGCCAGTTTTCTTGAGCATCAGCTCTACGGGATCTTCAGTTTCCTGTGTGACGGCGGCCGCAACCGACGGCATTATTTTCTGATAAACTTGTGGGTACACAAAATTAGTAAGTTTCAGTTTTGCAATTATTTAAATGATGTAACTTAATTCATTTATTGTAAGCATTGCAAATTTATAAATTTATTAAAAAACATAAATTTTAACAGCTGTTTTTGATTGCTCTTTCAATCTGATTCTCCACATGCATACATGTGATCAAGGCGTATTTAACAAGGTGGTGTTGGCCGTATATAAGTAAAAAATTACACTAACAATATTATACGCTGGTGTCCATACTGTCATTGGTATGAGTTACAACAAACACATCATTTTGACGTAATGGCCTCTCACGGCGAAAAACTCAGCTGTCGCCCCAACACCACCTTGTTTAATGGCCTGTTTTTGCTTATGCGTAAATGTACATTTAGCGCATTTAGCTCTAAATGCTACTCTAAATGTACATTTATCCATACAAAATTCGTCATCTAAATGCAACTAAATGCAACTCAATCTTTGCATTTAGAATCTAAATGCTAAAAGCATCCCTGTGATCTTCCAAAATTTCCACGATTCGAACATGGTTTAATGAGAAAAAGTGGCAACATTGCTTTTTCGAGTATACAACCGCTAGCTGCGTTTCAGTGATCGCCGATCGAGATTTCATTTATTATTTTACATTATTTGGATAAAGAAAAGTTACGCAAATTCAACATCGAAATGATGCTGATAGAAATCTGGATTAATTTGTGACCAACTCTGTTTGTTTTGTTTCCTAATTAGGTGTGGAAAATATAATTGGCAGCACCGACAAATGAATATATACACAAACAAATGTTCGGTTATGGTTAAAACAATTCAGGTTTTTGTATTGAATTTTCGGTTTAGAATTTATTTTTCCTTTGTAGGGGTTTTTGCACATTATCTTTTCGGTGAGAATTTATCGTAATGGATACGGATCTGAATAAGCGACTGGAACACGGCTGTTTGTCAAAAGCATACGATTTCGAACTCGCGTAAATGTACATTTGCTAAATGCTATAGCATGAACGCTCTTCGAAAACATATGTTCGAAAGTGCTAAATGTTGCATTTTAAATGCAGCAAAAACGCTGCATAATACACCTTGCATGTGATTCTTTTACGATTGTTGGAGACGATAGAAAAAATACTTCAAGCATTAGGCATGGCCGAGCATTAGGTGTATTTTTGTATTCTCCAGAAAGAAAGTGTCCAGCAACTTGCCAGTAAAGCACCAGCCGATTTTTTAGTAGAATTTTGCCGCCTTTCAACCAAAATCGGCAATTCAACAGGAAAATATTTTACATATGCTAGTTGATTGCTCAGTCCATTTTCCAGTTGACAGAAATCGACGCGTGTAAAGGCAGCTTAACCAAATTGTCACCCTTTTACACCCGATTTACATGATTCAAGTACTTGAAAGCAATTTTTGTTGTTGTTTTTTTTTGTAGCGGCTACAACCATCCCGCCAGATCGGTTAGTATCTCAGTCGTTGTCGTCAAGCTTAACTAACGGGAGACCCCAGAAGCGTGCAGCCTCTATAGGGTCTGTCCACAGGGGAAGAGGCGTTAGTTGTATCGGGTTATCCGGGCATACGAAGAGATGTTTCGAGTCGTGGGGTGTTTCTCCGCATAGTTTAACCTGCTGCAGTAGCCAGAGCGAAGTTGTGCTATTGTGGTTCTAGTCTCCCGGAGCAGACGAAGCTCCGTCTCGTCGATGTCAGGCGGTTGTGTGCCTAGAATGGCATACACAGGTCTGGAGTCTACATAACTCGAAACTGACTCCTTGTGAATGCGATCAGGGCTTGTCGGTAAGCTGACGGGTCCAGAGGTTGCTCTATGAACCTCTAGACTTCGTCCGTCAGTTCATATAGATGCCTTCTGACGTACCTTGGTGAGAGCTCCTCTGCAAGCAAATGTCTGTTCGGGTGTCCACGTCAGTGCCTCCCTACTAGGAATCGCTTGCAGATCATTGTGTTTTGCTCCTTTATGGGGAGCATTTTCGCCTCATCATGCAGGTGGTATTCTAGCGACATCCAGTCGCTGTCCGAAGTGCAGTGTTTCGAGTCGTCTGCAGCTTCATCCACTGCGTCCCACTAGTCCCCGGCGACCACACTGATGCTGCGAAATTTAAAACCGGCCAGCCAATTGCCTTGTATGTTACCAGCAACGTTTCTTTGTCTTTGCCCCAAGTGCTGCCGACCTTGCTGCAGCTCTGTACTTTGTTAATAATTGCGGTTGCGTGCGCAGAGAAGGTGAGCAGACTGTCGAAGGTTACTCCGAGTATTGTTCTTTGGTCGCAGGCGAGATAAAAGATGTAAATGGATATGTGTTTCCAGGAAATATTAGTGTTGTTCATTTATATTCATTTAAATAAATTTGCCTTTCGTATATACGTATATTTTTATCCACGCGCGACATACATGTGTAATCAAAGGATTCCACTTTAAAATAAATGTTTCAAATTTCCGAGCGATAGTCATTAATAAATTCGGTTTGCACTATGCACTTTTTTGTAAAATTCGATGTCGATTCTGCGCAAAAATACTGTGGATGGCGTAACCGTATATGAACAAGAAATCGTCACCTGGGTAAAAGATTGTCGCAAGCGCCATTTTGACGATTTTTAGTTCTAGATGCAATTATATATTTTGAAATAAGGTATTTCGATTGGTGTTACCAGTTTTTGAATATATCCTTTAGTTTCCGAGATATTGACTACAACTTTTTCGATAATTTAGTAAAAATTTAGTTAGTGATGCAGTCATATTAAACTAATCAATATCTTAAAAATTTATAGAGATTTCCTTTAGTTTCCGAGATATTGAGTAAACAGTGTCGTTAATTTGGTAGAAATTTATACACATTTTTTCGTATTTCATAAAAAGTGGCGGCAAATTGTGGACAAATGACGCTTACGACAAAATTTGACTAAAGAAAATCCTTCATAAACTCAAAGCTAATTAACAATAAACATTAAAAATTAAATAATTTAAGAATTTTGTGAACTAGTAACATTTCCAGAGACTTTGGAGAAAATCTATCTTCCCGTTTTTAGAAATTGCATTGAAAACTTCAATCGCGATTTCCCACAACCTGCCGAAATTGACATCCGACAATCTTTTACCCAGAGGGCCTCTGCCCCTCTTCCCCGCAACACAGAAAGGATAATTATACTTAGTAAGGGTTATAAACACTAAGCGCGTCCGAAGGCAGAAGCTAGCGCAACAGGTGGTGGACCCAACAAAGTGCATGTTTACAATGGCTCGGAAGAAGCTGTTATTGCATTAACTGCATTGAGAACCAGTTCTTCAGGCATAGGAGAAGTTCTGGCTTGTGGTTCAACAATTCAACCAGAAGCTGACATAGATTTGTCCATGGTTACTATGCCCGACAACTCGGCATATCTCTGTGAAATCATTCCCATAGCGGGCTCTTACTTCGCTGCTATAATTGCAAATGCAATAGAATCCATCGTTTCCTTCAAAATATGTAAACTCAAAACATTTTACCATAAATAAGCACTTGATGAATGTTCTTTTAATTCCTTTCCACTTTGTTTTCCTTCATACATCTGTCTTCGAAAAACAACTGATAGCTGGCAATGCTGCACAGGTTTCCGCAATAGTCGTAGCATCTCGATTTTTTGTTTTTCGTAACGACGCTACGAATTACGAAAATTCGGGTTCCAGAATAAGGGTGTAAGATTTTCTGCTATTTTCCTGCAGTTTTAATTGTACAAAATCCTGGTTGATCTGTCAAAGTCACTTTACGCAGCTATTTACACCTTTTCACAAAGATGGCGTTCCTATAAAAGCCTCGTAAACTTACGAGCTTTACACGCTTTAAGACTTTACGAGTTTAAGGGAATCCCCTAATTGTTTGAGTAAAGTAGGCATCCAGACAATAAACTGTCTTCTAACAAAGTGTGAATGTTTTGCTATTGTATCTGAAAATTTGGCTTGCGCGTACGCCACTTCTTTCGCATACTTTTCACTTATTGACGTACAAGTTCCCATTCTGACAGGCCTATGAGGCGCTCAAGCCTGAAAGATGATTTAGTGCAATTGCTCCATAACCAAAGTCTAAAAAGCCTGAAATATGCCAAATTTAGAACTTGTGTCAGGTTTTTCAGGCGACGTCTGACTGTTAATCTGCCTTTACATGAGGCGATTTTTTGACAGGCGATAATCGCCTGGAAAAGTTGACTTGCTGTCTACTTTGAGGCAAGCGATTTTTGAATCACCATTTACACGAGCGATTTTTCCAGAGCAGTATTGAATCGCCTGGAAAAACGCCTCATGTAAAGTCAGCTTAACTCATTACACATTATTACTGGTGAATATGGTTATTGCCAAGGTACATTGAACAGGTAGTATCAGTAGAGCAGCTGATTTGATTTATTTTCAAATTATTTGGTCTCGAAAATGTCAAATATTTTTAATTTTTTCTCACGAAAATTATAAGTTGTTAAAATCCTGCATGCAAAAGTATACCGAGCAGCAAATGAAAAAATACGCCAAATCAAAGTAAATTATTAAGATATTCAACTATTACAAATAAAATGCTTAAACAGATTATCACTGCAGCTACAGCGCCGCGGACCAAACTGGTGCTAGTGGTGCGCAGTGATTTGAAAATGTCTAAGGGGAAAACTGCAGCACAATGTGCTCATGCAGCTGTGCTTTGTTATCAGCAGTGCCAAACGAATGGCAAGAAACAGAAATTAGTAGAAAGCTGGTCACTTTCAGGGCAGCCGAAAATTGTATTGCGCGTTAATACATTACAGGAGCTTATGCATTTGCAGGATCGTGCAAAAGATGTTGGTGTTGTGGCAGAGCTGGTAAGAGATGCTGGACGCACGCAATTGGAATGTGGTACAGCTACAGTGCTGGGTATTGGCCCAGATATTGAGAAAAACATAAACGAATTGGTTTCTGATTTGAAATTATTGTAGCATAGGTTTTCACTTTGTTTGCCGAAGAAATAAAATAACCGTTGTTTTCGCTTTACATTTTATATTTAATTATTAACGTTTAGAGAATTGTTTATATTTCTTTATAATTTTAATCGTGTTTCTTACTCCTTGTTGCAATGGTCAACGATATAGGCTTGCCGAATGTTTCCACTAGATCAGATGTCACACGTTCAGTAATTTGCCTCAATCTACCATTAGATTCACCACAAATTAAACGCTCAATACGAGCTGAAGGACAGGTGACTTCCACTGACGCGTATATCGTACCTGCAGATGCAAACAATACATAAATACCTTAATATAATTGTAACTGATTTGAACAGTTACCATTTTCTTCAGAGAAATACTCGATTGCGCTTTGCAAATTATAAGGTATCTCTTGGGGCAAATAGTCCAAAAGTCTGGCGCGCACACTCTCCACAATTAAAGTTTCTGGTTTAACATCAGTAAAAGTTCCTTTGGAGTACTCCCAGGCTCGTTCTTTCGCAAGCTTTATTAGATAATCCTACAGATAAAGGAATCACATGTTTTAAAGTGAGTATGTATGTATGTGTACGTAAATATAATTTTTGTATATATAATAAAAAATTGAACTGTTCTCATACATACCTGAATGTTATTTAATCCACTGCCGGTAATGGACGAGACAAGGAAGACCTCATGAAAACTACTCCAACTCACATCTTTGTGTTTNCATTGAACTGTTCTCATACATACCTGAATGTTATTTAATCCACTGCCGGTAATGGAGGAGACAAGGAAGACCTCATGAAAACTACTCCAACTCACATCTTTGTGTTTACTTTCTTCCGACTTCGTTTTTAGACTTGTATTTGTTTCTTCACTTGACTTGGCCTGTATTTTACGTTTACGATTCCAATAAGATTGAGGGCTGCTAAGTGTATCATTAGTTAAAACCCGTATCAATTCGAGCAAAACTCGTTTTGACTTTAGTGCATCAATCTTGTTTAGGATTAAAAAGCTTGGCAAATGATCGTATTCTTTTAATGTTTCGAGTACGGTAGGGTGTAGAGCGTTACGAGTCCATGAATTCGAAACATCGTGCATGCAGGCGATAATATCGGCATGTTGTATTGCGTGTTTGTAGGCAGATTTAAAGCTTTGCTCGAGACTGTGCCGCTTCATCTCGCGTGGCGTCACTAACCCCGGTGTGTCATACAAAACCAATTGCGTTTTTCCTGTGGTATAAATGGCCTTGCTAGCTTTTCGTGTTGTATGCACTTTTGAAGATGTAGGGCAAACCTAGCATGTGGCAAGAACCTACTATTACAAAAAATAATTGCAAATGGTACACAATAGCACTCACCCGGTGATTGATTAAATTATTAATAAAGGTACTCTTTCCTGCATTCGGGACCCCTATTACAGCAATATGCAAAGAATTCTGGATACGTTGGCTATTTTGCGGCTTGAGTTCATCCTCTGCTGAAGTTGCTGGAGCGGCAGAGGGAATCTCAGAAGTTGATTTGCCATGTGTGGCTGCTAAAACGTAGCTACGAACATTTGAAATTAAAATCCGATTTGTTCCTCTTAATTTTAAGAAAATTTTCGGGACATTTACAAAATTATTCACCAATAACTCCATAGTTCTCGAATAAAAATGTCAGAAAGAGCAAAGAAAAACAAAACCAAACGTCAAAAAAGAAATAAGATAAGATGATCTTCCCAGCACGTAAATAAAAAATACGGTCTATGCATAAGGGGTATTCAAACAACTGATATTTGTAAATAGACAGTTTTGTTATGAGAGGGAATTGTATTACAGGCTAACCTAATATTCACGCACGCCGCCAATTTATTGTCAAAAATTTCTCATGCACATGCAACTTGTATGAGATCAACCGAAATTGAACGGCGTGCGTATGAAGCTAACTCAATTTCCAATTTTTGTTCTGCGTGACATTTTGATTTGACGTTTCGCTCAATGAAATCAAATGCAAACGCATGCAAGTCAATTTCGGGTGACGCAAAA